TCACTCCCTGTTCGCGATCTCCTTATATACCCCGGCACTCCAACTGTTTTTTCCTCGTTTCTGATTGGCTCTTAGCTTCGCGCCCTTTTCAAAATTCAAAATTCTTGCTTCGAAACTAGCGTCATCTCTTGATTTTTCTCGGAATTAACCTTCAAAATTAAATTCTTTTTTCGTTGATTTCTCCCTTATTCCTTTATGAAACGTAATAAAACTTCGTATTCAACGTTGTCTTTTCTTGTTTTCAGACATACATTGGAGTACACGCCAAATTTCAACAATGAGTAAAGTTAGAAAAATTCAAATTTAAATCAAGGATTTCTTCCTCAAAATAACGTTAAAACCTCAAAAGATGGATGAAAAATGTGCTTTAGGAGCTGAACTATAATAATTGATACTTTTGGAAGCAAACAAAACGGTTTAAGATAAGATTTTCACCAACAAAAAATCTCTCTGTCACAATTTCTAGGTTATGTTCTCTCGGTGAACTAAGAGAATGTTAAAATTATCACAAAATATTTTAATGTACTTATCAAAGCCTATGTAAACAAATTTAACGATTATATCGATAAATTACTGCTCAAAAGCAAAAATATAAAATTAAAAAAAATTTCTCACAATTAAAATGGCGTTTTAATTCATATTATTTCAATCTTTGTTTCTCCAAAAATAAGTCGTAGCAAAGTTTACAAGTCGTTTATTACAATTTAAGCCAATAAAACTGGCACTGATTAACAGATTCGTCGAAATTGCGTCAAAATGCATGAAGTTGCACGTATTATTATCTATAGTATTTGCTGTTACTATTTGTTTTTGTACTATAGTCTATTTTTGCCATAAAAACTGAAATGTTTAAGGATTGAAGGATATATAAATGAGGTTGTGATCGGACCAGATTAGGGAGATAAAGAATGAACTAATAAACAAGTTTATTAGTAAAATTTCTTTATTAACTCAAATAAGTTAGGTCACAACTTTTATCTCAAATAACAATAACATTTCTTTCTTCTGATTCGCTACACATAGATAAATTTTAAGTGTGTATGTACATCATCTCATCGTCGACGATAATAATAATAGTAATAATAATAATAGTATGGACATTCGCGTCGCATATTATTAATCAATTTTTATACTTTCTTTACTCATTTATATAATCAATCGTTAATATATATATTTATAATATTAAATATTGGCAGGGAAATCTCTTATATAATTCAAATATACATACACTACAAAAAACACATGGATAAAACTATTACGGCTAAAACTCTGCTCGGTTTTAATCAACATTTGCCTATTATTTTCATCTCTTAGTTTAATTTAAAGTACCTTTTTTTTAAAATTTAATTTAAACGATTGTTGCTTTTTACTCTCGAGTATATCATTTTTTGAAAAGGATAGTCGCTTTAAATAATTTCGGCTCTCTATTACTATATTTTTAGGCATACCACTGCCATGTTCCAGGGGTTTTCGCATTTCTTTTAAATCGCTGCTTTTTTCAACTCCCAACAATTTAATCAAAATGCATCAAAACATGGTAGTATACAAATACCAAAGAGAGAGCACTAATTAATTTATGAGGGGAGCAATAATTTGTTTTCCTTAAATAACAAATTTCATTTAATTTAAATTTGTTTTTACCGAATCCGACGCATCTCCAAGATACAAATAGAGAATGTTAGAGATAGAGAGAGGAGATAGAGACGAGAACTATTTTTGTTTTTTTTTTTTTTTTAATAGGGGAGGAGCGGGCCTTTGAGATTATTAATTACTGTTTTCCCACCTGCAAGCATCTTCGCGCCATTTTGCGTTTCTTTCATTAACTTCGTTATCAATAATTATTAATTTCAGTGGTGACGCGTCATTTGAGGAACCGTCCACACCGCAGGGGCTAAGCGTCACAGCTTTTCTTTCGTCGGTACCCATATCGATGGGCCCGATTGTTGTGCAATAACATCTTTTACTTGAGCGTAAATATCTTCTGGTGTATCTCCTTGAACAACCGCTAAAATTCGATTATTATATTATTTGTTATGTTATATTAATGTATTTACCTGTAAAATATTCTCCAAATTCTTGTTCCATTTTTAAAGCTCTTTCAAACGTTTTTTTCGCTTGATCTTCAGTCATTCTTTTATTCATCTCACTAAAATCATTAAATACATCAATAAATTGTAATTAAAAAAAAAATTGTTAACTTAAACTTACAGTATTGACTCGACCGATTTAGGTTTAATAAATATTGCAATTGGATATAATTGCGCTACTTGTAACCGTTTGATTGCATTTCCGCTTACATCTAAAATACAGTGTTTACCCTTATCGGCTACTTCACGAACAGATGCCACTGATGTTCCATATAAATTATCATTGTATTGCCCGGCTTCTATAAATAAGTGATTTTGGATATCTTTTTCCATTTGTTCTCGTGATGCGACGAAATGATAATCTCTACCGTCCACTTCATATTCTCTTTTAGGTCTCGTAGTATCTAGAAAAATAAGAATTTTAATATCATTAAAATAAAAAACACATTTGAATGATTTATTTCAATTTAAAACATTTTTTTAGACAACCAAAGCAGCCTTAATATCGCGGCATTTGCGAGATATAATATGGAGAAACGAACACATGACCATATAAATTAAAATCAGCATATACAAGACTTGCGTGAGACCTGTTATGATTTACGCTGTGGAAATAACGGCTGAAAATTCTACAACAAAAAAAATCATTCGACCCTACGATCCATAGCAGGCTACACCCTGAGGAACCATAAGAGAAACGAAGAATCTAAGAGAACTATTACAGCCTGGGAATAGGTGCACAGCTCGAAGGCTCGTTCGTGACGTCACACATGGATAGACAACTATTATTTCACATTTTCAATTAGAAAATACTTAACACACTAGATTAGTTCTACTTTTAATTCAATTAAAATATACAACAATCTAGGGTAAAACGCCAGTAATTGACCGTTGGCCAGTGTTTGACCGCTTTTGTAAAAAAATGTAAAAAATAAGGATCCAAGGAATATCTAAAAAAAAATAAATATATCCATAAATAGCCACCAGTCTCCTCTCCACCCTCTAGTACACAAAACTCCACGACTGAATACCGTTCTTGAGTTTTTGTTGTTTAATTTCGCGCTAACTACCGGCCTATTCACATCGTGCTAAAAAGCGTAATTTTTATGTTTAGAATTCACCCAAACAGGGTAGTACTATTCAGCCGTTTTTGCATGTATGATGTTTTTTTGTTTTGTTTGCCAGTGATCTAATAATGTTTTCTATTGGTTATATTAAAAAAATACTGCTTTAATTAATTATTTGTTGAAATAAAAGCCGGTCAATGACTGGTAGTTCTAAATTTAATTAAAAATTAGTGTTTGACCAAACGGTCAAATACTAGACGAATTGGTTGTTTTATAATCTCACAAGGATGTATATTTGATTAATAAAATGAAAAAATGTGTAATACCTGTTTTTAAAACTTCACATCTTCCCATTTAAGTTGTTTAGTATTTGACCAAAACTTTTATACTTTAAAAGTAAGATACAATCAGTTTAAATATGCGGTCAATTACTGGTTCCTCTTTTGGTCATTTATAGGATACAAATATTCAAAACTCAGTTTTTTAACCGATTTTAAATTTTATAAATATTTAAGCGTAATATAAACATAAGTGTAAATGTTTGATTCTTTTCTATTTTTTTAAACCTTTTTTATAACAATAAACGTAATTAACCGCACTTAAGCAATAATGAATCTGTAAAATTAAAAGGATAAAAGGTTGGTCAAACGCTGACTCTTATAGTGGTCAATTATCAAAAAATGGAAAATCTATATGGAAAATTTAGCAAATATGAATCAGGTTAACATTTTTTCAGTACCAATATGACAACGAAGCCTAAGTTTAAAAATTGTGAAGAAGATCTTCAAAAGACTCTCGATGTAAGAAGTAGGGGTCTTACGAAAAAGCAGCGAAGATGTTTAACGTTCCAAAATAAAATCTTATTTATAAAAGGAAAAACACCAGTGCAGAGGAAAATAGGCCCACTAGCATTTTTAAATTCTGATGAAGAAAAAGTGCTGGTTGAATAGTTGTTTCATTCAGCAGATAGGGGTTTTCCTGTTACAAAAACCCTGTTGAAAACACAAAATTTGGGTGAAAAGTTAAGTCAAGAGCATTTTGCCGCTGTTTTAAAAGATGTTCTTAAAGAGTAAAAAATATAAACATTTTTTTGTGAACAAAATAGTATGGAAAAATAATGAAAATGAATATTATATTAAGAATCGGTCAAATATTGACGGTTTTAAGGTCAAAGACTAGATATTACTGGTCAAGTAATGTAATCAAAGTGGTCAAACACTAAATGCGAAATACTGTTTTCCTTTTTAATTTAAAAAAAAATATTACTTCATGATGTTATATTTTATATGTAGGGTAAGTAACTTTAAGTGAATCAGATGTGTATTTGATCATATTTTGATCATTTTATGTAAAGGCAGAGGGATCTACAAGAAAAATAATATGGCTCGGTCAAACACTGACATTAAAAAATCCTTAACAGGTCAAACACTGGTGCGTTTACCCTATTGCTGACTAATAATTAAAAGTAAAATTAACACTAGACCTTGAACTAGAAAAATTCGACATTAGCTGTGTGTCTGAAGACGTACATTTATTTAATACGTTTAAATTAAAGGAAGATGAAAGAAAAAATATGACAAGATAATTGAAGCTTTCGACCAGTATTGCAATCCAAGAAAAAATTTGATATTCAATACATTCAAATTTTTTAAGAGAAAACAGCAGGACGGAGAATCATTTGAAAAATACTTAACCGATCTAAAAAAAGTTAGCAAAGGATTGCGAATTTGAACAACAATTAATAACTAATAACAGATAATATGACACATAATAGGAATTAGAGATATAAATAAAGAATTGCGAATTTGAACAACAATTAATAACTAATAACAGATAATATGACACATAATAGGAATTAGAGATATAAATCTACAAGAAAGAATGTCGAGAGAAACAACGTTAACGTTGAATGAAGGTCCAGAATTTTATCGAGTTCATAAAACAAGTAAGCATCAAGTGAATGTACTTCGAGAAGAAAAGAGCGAGGAAATAAATGTAATAAAGAAAAAACAAGAAAGGTATTATTGTAAAAAATGTGCTAGTCAGTATGAAGAACAAAATTGTCCTGCATACTATCGAAAATGTAATAATTGTGGTAAATATGGACATTTCAAAGTAGTTTGTAGAAAAAGGATGAACGAAATCAAGAAGGGTAATGGAAAAAGAGATAATTTTAGAAAATATAAAAATGAAAAGAAAAATATCTTGAAAAATTATCGTTAATTAATAAAGTAAGAAATGTCAATAATAAGAAAACCTGGATATATCCATTGAAAATTAACAAAGAGAAGATTGAGTGTATGTAGTGTATGAAAAACTTGAACTACAAGAAAAAACACCAACAGAATGGATGAATAATTTTGTTATTGTGGAAATGAAAGATGGTTGTTTGTGTATTTTTCTTGACCCGAAGGAATTAAATCATTACATAAAAAGCGTTACTCAATACCAACAATAAAAGAACTGGCAAGTGAGTTGGCGGGAAAAACTGTATTCACTGTCTTGGAGATGAAAGATGGATTTCATCAAATACAACTTGACGAAGAGTCAGTAAATATCTGTACCTTTGGTAGATATAAATTTCACAGGGTACCCTTTGGAGTTTGTAGCAGCCCAGAAGTATTCCAACGAGAAAATACTAGAATCTTTGATGATTTTCCTGTAGTGCAGGTATATTTTGATGCTATTATTATTACACAGAAAAATGTAAAAGAACTTCTAACGCTTTATCATGCGTTAGAAGTTCTTAAAAAAGCTAGAAAATACAATGTTAACTTTAACAAAAATAAAATGCAATATAAAATAGATAAGGTCCGGATGTAGAGCGTAGTACAGCGATACAAAAGATATACAAAGATTTTTAGGGATGTTCAACTTTTTGCATAGTTTTATACCAAATTTATCGATAATTGTCGCACCTTCAAGGGAATTATTAAAAAATGGTGTTTCATGGGATTGAGTCATAGTTATACAAACAGATGTTAGTAAAGATGGGTTGGGATATTGTCTACTGCAAGATAGCAAACCGGTATGTTTTGTGTCAACAAGTCTTACAAAAGCACAAATTAATTACCCAATAATAGAAAGAGAAATGTTAGGTTTGGTGTTCGCATGCAAAAGATTTCACAAATTTATTTATGGAAGAAAAATAGAAATTAATACTGACCATAAACCTTTGGTTAATTTTGAAAAGAGAAATACATAAAAGTAGTTGGAGAATACAACGTGTGCATTTAAAATTGATAAAATATGATATTACAGTAAAACATGTGCCTGGAGAACATGTGTATATTGCGGATATGCTTTCCAGAGCATCAGTCAAAGAAAATGTAATTGATGATAGTGAGCTAGAGGGTGTGCTTCATGCAATAATGTTGCCAGAATTATTACCTATGTCAGCTAATGAAATAAAAGAGAGAACTAAAAATGATGAAATACTTAATCAGGTCATTGCACACATATATACAGGTTGTGTTGATTATGACAAAGACAAAGTAAACAATAAAGATCTAAAACAATACTTTAAGTTAAGAAATGAATTAAATACAAATGATAATATAATATTTTATAATGATAAACTTGTAATACCTACCACTAAGAGCTAGAAAGATAGTATATTGGCGAAGAATTAATGAAAATATTGAGCGCAGAACCATAAATAAATCACGAACTACCTGAATTACCATTTAACAAAATATTTAATTGTGGTTGATTACTTCTCAAAGTGTTTGGAAATTGTACCAATAATCAACAGCAAAAATATAACTGAAATTATAGGAAAACTTATGACCATCTTTGCGACACATGGTATACCGCAATATGTGGTAAGTGACAATAATCCTCTTAACAGCTTTTCCCAGATTTTGCAAACGAGTAGAATTTTGAAATTATTAACTCTAGTTCATACTATCCAAAATCTAATAGATTAGCTGAAAAAGCGTTTTTTATCTGACACCCGGTATAATAAATTTTGAAATATATTAGGTTGCACTAATAATGGGGGTGTCTGGTGCTTGGTGATGTTGTGAACTGACTAATTTGAAAATTGATTAGTGATGTAGAAGATAGGGTCGCATATTTAATTGTTTTGATACCAGATACCACGACAGGCATTTCACGAAAATTTACAATTATAGAAGAAGGATTCTCTATCAATACTGTGGAGAAAATACATGTCTTTACGTCCGAAGAAGTTAGTCAATGAGCGATTCTTTATAAAATACGCTAATCAAAAATGTACTTCACAACCTGTTGGAATTAACACTTTATCGAAAGTTCCTTCAACAGTTGCTTCGTTTTTGAATCTGGCAAATGCAGAAGCTTATAGCGGCCATTGTATGAGGTGCACTTCAACAACTTTACTGGCTAATAAAGGTGCCGACCTTACAATAATTAAACGACATGGTGGGTGGAGGAGCTCTGGCATAACAGAAACTTATATCGAGGATTCTATATGTAATAAGCTTGATTTCATGCTAAAATAAGTAGTCGTTCCTTACTAGAGGAAACGTCCATTGTTTCTACAGACTTTTCAAAAACTTCGACAGGCACTATGCGTTTTGGAAGCGATGACAATTACAAGCTGGTTATTAATGGAAAGGAAGTAAAATATGACAAATCAAAGAATGAAAAAAAACTTGGTAGACATTTCAGACATAACCTCAATATAAGAAAGCTGTCATTTCTGTTATTATTTTATTTTTTGATTAGTAGGTCGTGTCAGAACTGTGGAATAATGGCTTTATTATTCAACACTTTGTCAGTCATGCGAGTAATGCGTGTCATTATCTGTCAAAAATCAAATGTATAACGAGTAGATAATTCAATACTGGTAGATAAATTTATTTACTTACGTGGTACACAACTACCAAATTTCTCTGGAAATTCCGATATAAGATCATCATTGATACGATCCTTGAGAGGTCCCAAAACGATAACTGGTCGTGTATAAGCGATTTGCATCTGTTGAACTGGTTCGTATGATAGAACGCACTCGTCGTTAGCTGTAAAATAGAATTAACAATGCAAAAAAATATAACCAGAAAACAGAAAAATTAATAATAAATTAAGGATTTTGGTGATTTAATACAATATAAGAATTCGGATGTTGTATTTTTTTAAGTTGTAAAGTATAAACTGCTACGCCACAAAAATCTCTAAATAAAAGCCAATTCAGAAAAAACAGACCTACTTCGGCCAATTTTGCTCTATTTAAATACGGAAACCCAATCCAACGTGTGTGGGGGGGAGTACAGAAGGAGATAAAGAGCATTTCTACGCACGGGTGGCGAGCAGGTTTTTGTTCAAACTTTCTAAAAATTAATCAAAGGGGTTCTACTAATTCTAATTGTTGATATTTTTTAATGTCAATATTGTTTTTAAGTTAATCTTTTATAACCATAAACATAACCGATTTTAATTATTAAGATGAAATGAGAATGATTGTTAAAAGTATAAAGTAGATTATTATTTTTGTGAAATCAATCGGTTATATTTTAGTTTTGTTTAAAATGTTATGAATAATAATTAATAGTTATTTTTAGAAATTATTTTTTTATAGCAATTGTTTTTTATATATTTTTTTTGATATTTACAGTTTAAAAAACGTGATAACAAAACCAAAAAAAAGCGATTGGTTCCACTTAGAAATGTTCAAATTACAAAATATGTAATGTAGTTAAAAAAATTAAATAGTAAAAAATAAAAAAAGTTGCTAACTTGCAAATTAAACGTAAGAAAAAAGAATATGTTCATTTAAATTTTCAAACCAAAAATTCGTTTCTTTAATAAATTATTTTTTTTTATATTTAATAATTAGAAAAATTAATTTGTTAATAATTTATAAAAGAAACTCATCTGAAGAAAAAAATATCAAAAAGATACGGACACCTACTTACTGGTAACAACGAAATAATTGGGTGTAATAATTCAATAATCAAAATTCTATTTCCTCTAGTTCCTAAGAAAAAAATAAATCGCATCTCGCATAGTTTCTGGCATTCTCTAAGTCTCGTTTTAAAAGAGAGCAGACTAATAATCGCTAATTATTAAAGGGGGAGCCAATATGCCACAAAAAATACAAAAAAAAAACTGGGATTCTTGGAGAATATTTAAGAAAAAACGAAACATTGATGTTAAATTGTAAATAATTTATAAACATTATTCTAATTTAAAGATTAAACAAAATTCACAGTTATATATTACCACAATTTCAGAATTTATATGTTACCAAAAAGACTTCACAATGATGAAGATTGAAAACGATAGGAAACGTCTTGATGCAATATAGTATTTTGTATTACTTGATATTAAAAGAAGTACCGAAAGTGTTGGAACTTACAGAGCAAAGTTAAGGGAAGGTGCTGCAAAAAGACAAGGAAAGATAAAGTTAATAATGTTGATATCATGCAAGAAGTTGGAATTGACATAAGTACATTAGAAACAATCGAAATAAAAAGACTTAAATGATGCGAATGTAACTGCCACGTAAATGTGACTACCAACTTCATCGAAATCGGCCAAGGTTGCTTCTTAAGTTAGATTCAAGTGAGATCGTGCCACTCGCAATACGCTATGTATTTGGATTCACAAAGTTTTGATATACTCGAGGTCTAGACAAGAAAATATCTGGATGAATTCTGGCTAAATTTTGAACTCCTAGAAAAAGTCTGAAATTGTACTGCCCATAAAACATTCCGTTTAGCCGTACCTCTCTTAAGACGGGTAGTAGGTAGCACTAGTTAGCATAAAATATCAATATGTTGCATATTTTTATTGAACTAAAACTGGAACTAACATTAATGTTTAAATGTTTGCTAAACCCGAATGTTTCTAGTTGTAGGTCTAGTGTTAGTTCTAGTTTTAGACTAGCACTGTTACTATGCAGGACTAACACTATACCTAGAACTAGAATCAGTTGGGTTTAGCCGCATGTCTTTAAAGACGGCTAAACCCGATTGATTCTAGTGCTAGGTATAGTGTTAGTTCTAGTTTTGCACTAGCACTATTACTATGTACGTAATGTACATTGCTAGACCAAGAACTAGAATCATTCGGGTTTAGCAATTTTAAGTGACGCACGGCTAAACCCGAAACTTTCTAGTTCTAGGTATGGTGTTAGTTCTAGTTTTGCACTAGCACTATTACTATGTAGAACTAACACTATACCTAGAACTAGAATCATTTGGGTTTAGCCGCACGTCTCTAAAGATGGCTAAACCCGAATGATTCTAGTTCTAGGTATAGTGTTAGTTCTAGTTTTGCACTAGTACTATTACTATGTACGTAATGTACAGTACTAGACCAAGAACTTGAATCATTCAGGTTTAGCAATTTTAAGAGACGCATGGCTAAACCCGAAACTTTCTAGTTTTAGGTATAGTGTTAGTTCTAGTTTTACACTTGCACTGTCACTAGAACTAACATTAGACCTAGAACTAGAAACATTTGGGTTTAGCCGTACGTTTCTTAAAACGGCTAAACCCGAATGATTCTAGTTCTTAGTCTAGCACTGAACAACAATTAAAACAAGTTAGTTCTACATAGTAATAGTGCTAGTGCAAAACTAGAACTAACACTATACCTAGAACTAGAATCATTTGGGTTTAGCCGCATGTCTTTAAAGACGGCTAAATCCGAATGATTCTAGTTTTAGGTATAGTGTTAGTTCTTGTTTTAATTGTTGTGCAGTGTTAGACCAAGAACTAGAATCATTCGGGTTTAGCCGTCTTAAGAGACGTGTGGCTAAACCCAAATGTTTCAAGTTCTAGGTCTAATGTTAGTTCTAGTGATAGTGCAAGTGTAAAACTAGAACTAACACTATACCTAGAAGTAGAATCATTCGGGTTTAGCCGTCTTTAGAGACGTGCGGCTAAACCCAAATGATTCTAGTTCTAGGTATAGTGTTAGTTCTACATAGTAATAGTGCTAGTACAAAACTAGAACTAACACTATATCTAGAACTAGAAAATTTCAGGTTTAGCCGTGCGTCTCTTAAAATTGCTAAACCCGAATGATTCTAGTTCTTGATCTAGCACTGTATATTACGTACATAGTAATAGTGCTAGTGCAAAACTAGAACTAACACTATACCTAGAACTAGAATCATTCGGGTTTAGCCGTCTTTAAAGACATGCGGCTAAACCCAACTGATTTTAGTTCTAAGTATAGTGTTACTTCTGAATAGTAACAGTGCTAGTGTAAAACTAGAATTAACACTAGACCTAGAACTACTACTATTAAGCTATAATGGTTACTGCATTTATATATTGCGAGTTATAGGAAATTCCCGGTAGAGTAGTACACTGATTGATTGTGCTAATGAGAACTGACAGACAGATTGTCTAAAAGAATCATGGAATGAGTGCCACACAATAAGGCGAAGCGCGGAAAGTTCAAGACAACATGGAGAGAGAATTTGGCAGAAATAATCGATATTAATTTATCGATTTCAGAAACAAAAAAAAAGAAAAAATAGAATATGCCTCGTGATGAGAAGTAATTTTTTTAATACTGTCATTAAAATGACCTCAAACAAAATGTGTTTCGTTTTTTCTTAATATTAAAACAGCATTCCATAATTAATTCAAGAGGGCAAAAAACTTCTAACTTTGATATGTTCACTTTTTTTTTAGTATGCATAAAAGCTCGCAGGGTTAATTTAACATCAGAATTTCATTAAAAAAAAAGATAAACTATAAAAAAAGTATAAAGTGGAATGAAAAATTGTTAATTAAATCACAAAATTCATTCCATCAAAAAATTCGAATAAAAAATAAAATAAATGTGCTCGAAAAACTAAACACTTAGTGGGCGAAAAATCAATAATCCAAAAAAAGTTAAAGAAAACCCAAAATCTATTTAGAAAAATAAGAGAAATAAAAAAAAAACGTATTGATACAAAAAATAAAATAAGAAAAGGCGCAAATAGGCCCTCAACCCGTATTAAATTTTTAAAATTGTTTTTTTTTTTCGCATGCAACCACAAACACTAACACTTACTATAGTCGTCTGTATTATCATTATTCTCCAGATAAATTAACGTGATCTCTTCCATATAAGGCAGTTCTACGCGATACAATATTTCGCCTGCATTTTCGGTACACAGAGAACAAAGCGAAAACAAAAAGAATTCAATGTAGTAAACCAAAAAACACAACGCTCTCTTTTTTGAATTTGTTCATTTCTTTTTGATATGATAACGATGGTTTTTTAGTACTGTAATGCTTTTCAGTGGAGTGAGTTTTTTATTTTGAAATGAGATTAATATCAAAATAGAAGATTCGAAAACGATCTTAATTTTTTCTTCTAAATTATCACTATTAAGATATTTTCGTTTTTTTTTAAAATTTGATACGAACTAACGGATACTGTACCTTCGGCGTTGGCGTCTTCTTGAGTATAGCACAGCATGAAAGCTGCAACAATAATACAACAGTGACAGACACGCCCTGGGTTCTTTTATTTAGCGTTTTTTTTTCAAACATCAAACATGTGTATGTCCTTTTTTGTGTAATGTAATCATTTTGTGTGAAAAATCCGTTTAAAAAAATTAATAAAGATTAATACATTTCAGATTTACACAAAAAATTAGTAGATTTAAATTATCATCTCAAATTTTTTTTTGTTAATAATGTTTAGTAGGATCAAAAATGATAAAATAAAAAATCTGTACAAAGATTTAAATTGATGAGTATTTACATTATACATTTTGTACAATAAATGTACACAAAAAAAAGAAACTTGGTTTCTTATTCACAAAAATTGACGAAATATTTTAGATAATTAATTAATTTAAAAAAAAATACTTACATGATGGGTTTGAATCGGAATCTATGGCGTTAGGGGTAGTACATTGGGAATCTACAGGTCGAAATAAACCAAAAAAACGACTAATAAATAAATTATAAAAGAAAAAAATTTAGAAACGTATTTATATTATTATTACAAGTATTATTCGTGTATCAAGTGTACCTTAAAAAATGTGCAATTTGTTTTTATTTTTGAATTTACGTTAAATTGATTAACTTACGTTCCTGGTCCGAACCGTCTTCCGACTTGTCGTCCTTACTCTTCATAAACGGGAACTTCCGGCTGAATGAAAAGTTTTTCTTTTTCCTATCTAAAGTTGATTGCTAAAAGTTAAACAAAAAGTTNTTTTTGAATTTACGTTAAATTGATTAACTTACGTTCCTGGTCCGAACCGTCTTCCGACTTGTCGTCCTTACTCTTCATAAACGGGAACTTCCGGCTGAATGAAAAGTTTTTCTTTTTCCTATCTAAAGTTGATTGCTAAAAGTTAAGCAAAAAGTTCATTTAAAAAATTGCTAGAAAATTCGAAATTAAACGTTATTAAATAATTCACTCAATTAATTTATTTGCGTTATGATCACACCCATCATTACACAGCCTATATATTTTCTAATTAAACAAAATCAAAATGATCTCTCATGATAAAAATTAAATTGGGGGCTTCAAACCACATCTACAACAAATTTTTACCCCTACAGATTATAGGAAAAGAGTTTTAACGTCTTTTTGTAAAGCTTAATCACTTCAAACTAGGGGTACACTTAGTGATGTAAAAAGTGATATTACCGGTAATTTACCGTAATATTACTCGTAAGTTAACCCTCTAATAAGAGACATCTATCGTCCAAGAGTTCAGTTAAAATCGCTCTATGATGTCTGTAATATCAAGGTAATCGGGGAATACCAAGTGATAGTGACGAGTTGAAAATGTGCATGTATGAACGCATCAGTGTTGCCAAACGTACGATAATTATCGTACATGTACAATTATTTCAATTCGAGTGCTCAAGATTCCGATAAATAACCTCAGGCTGACATTGAGATCACCAGAGTCATACTAAGATCAGTTTGCATGTTGGCTTTGGCAGAAGTTGGACTTGGTGCGATCAGTTGGTTCAACATGGCAAAAAAAGTTATTGAGATGAACTCAGGTGAACTCATGGGAAAAAAAATTTTTAGTGTAAAAAGGAGGAGCTTCAACTCAAGAAATAACACTGCCATGGGCAAGACTGATATAAATCACAATGCAGTAGTTACGAAAGTTACTAGCATTGTCCCACATAAAATGTAACATAGTTTAATAGTACAGGCATTGGATAGTTTTGCAAAAAAAAGTTTTACTTGGAAAAGGTGACGTCCTTTGATATAGCTTAATAGTAGTAGTTCTAGGTATAGTGCACTAGTACACTTGCACTGTCACTAGAACTAATATTAGGCTTAGAACTAGAAACCTTTGGGTATAGTCGTACGTCTCTTAAGACGGCTAAACCCGAATGATTCTAGTTCTTGGTCTATTGCTGCACAGCAATTAAAACTAGAAATAACACTAGACCGAGAACTAGAAACATTCGGATTTAGCTGCACGTTTCTCAAAACGGCTTTTTACCAAAATAAGATGTGCTTATAAGTCACCCACTCGATACATGTTATGAAATCCACTCTTGAATGTTGAGTATGAAAGGATTAAAGAGTGTGTTAACTCAAAAATAATGGTCGAATTGTAGAAACGATTCGATCTCCAATTATGTTGTAAATACCCCATTGCCGGTTTTTTATAAAACAGTACACACAAAATATAAACATTTAGCAACTTTCTTGGCAAGCCAAATTGAGAAAATCATACAGGATGTAGGCGTTAATCGCTTTCTTGCGATTGTGACAGACAATGGAGCGAATATAAAAAAAGCAAGAGAAATCATTTTCAATAAATATAAACATATCATTAATTCTGGGTGTATATGCCTTTTGGTCCAGAATATTTTGAAATTAGAAAGGTTGAACGAGTTTAAGAAGACAGTGAGAAAACACTTCAATTGAGAAAATTCAGTTAGACAAACAAAACAAATATGTTTCATTAAAAATTCCTGTAAAAACAAGGTGGTTTTCTTTTATTAAATGGCTAAAAAGTTTTTTGAATACAAAATATGCTGCTCTCCAAATCTTAGCAGTTGATCCAGATGCAAAAATAACATTAAAAAAAACAACCAAAAGCTGTTTATTGGATAACAGTTTTTTTGAGCAGATTTTCATAATGTACCACGTATTAAAACCAATTTGGGACTTGAATTAAATATTTTGAAACAAATGCTCCTACAATATCAAAGGTATTTGACACCTTTTTGGAAATAGAAGTTGCTATATCACGACAATTATTATCAACATCAATATTTCAAGATGAGCAGGGCACAATTTAAAGTATTTTAATGTCAAGAATGAATAAATCGATAAAACCGATACATTTAGCTGCTAATTTATTGGAACCAGCAAATAGAGGACGATATTTAAGGCCAGAACAAAATTTGATTGCCACAGTATTTATTTTTGAAATAGCTAAAAGTTATCAGTGGCATAATAATCCTGAAAACATAAAGTGAGGTTTCTTTGCAAAAGAGTTCGTCATCTCTAGTGAAAAATCAAATTTAGTTACGTGGTGGTCAGGAATCGGTTATTTATAGGCAAGGATTTATTCACAGTCAAAGAAGAACGAATCGACTGACCGTTGAAAGAGTTGGTAAAGTCACATACAGGTGTTTCTGTAAGTCGTGGCATAATTTTAATCACAAATACTAGAGTGAAAATGACAATTCGTGTAAAAAATTTTGATCTAAGCCCATAAATGGCTAAGATTCTCTTCAATATTTTTAATATGGTTTGTTTTAGAAAGATTAAATTTGGCAAACAGTGCAATTTTATCATAAGAAATCGTTTAAGATCACTATTGGAAATATCGAACCACGGGATCAATCTATACAGAGTGTTCACAAAGATTATTTCTTTAAAACTTTTTTATTATATCATAAACCCTTAAATTTTCTATCATTTAAAAATTACTTTCACTCTTAGAATGTTTTCATTAATCGTAGGTGCCTATAGAAACAAATTGTAAATAAAGACAACCTGATAAAAAAACATTTCTAAATATCGAAAGATATTTACGTGAGACAGGAAATTTAAGATAGAAATAGAAGAAAATATTTTGTATTTTGTGGCAGATCGTTTTACTGCTAGTACACTGTTGATAGCAACAGTTTAGACATTTCAGAATGTCCAAAGGTACGTTTTGGCATGTTGTACATGAACACCAATTGTATCCATCCATTTGTTGAGAGTACACAAACTTAAAATTGCTGATCATCCGTTACAAATACAGTGTTGCCATACTATGATGGAAAAATGTACTATTGATGCTGCGTTTTTAGAAAAAAGTACTTTTTACAGATAACCATTAATTTGAGAAATGCTGAAGAAACATTATACTGAAGAAAATCCAGATTTCATACTTCGTTGAGTAATAATTTGGCAGATTTCTTTTAAACGAACTTAAATCTTTTNTGTACTATTGATGCTGCGTTTTTAGAAAAAAGTACTTTTTACAGATAACCATTAATTTGAGAAATGCTGAAGAAACATTATACTGAAGAAAATCCAGATTTCATACTTCGTTGAGTAATAATTTGGCAGATTTCTTTTAAACGAACTTAAATCTTTTTGTGAATAACTTGAAAACAATGATTAGACGCAAAAATTTCAATGGTTTATGACATAATAAAAAAGTATAGCATTGATATTTTCAAAAGTGATCTTAAACGATTTCTCATGATAACATTGCACTATTTGCCAAATTTTATCTTTCTAAAACAAACCATATTGAAAATATTTAGAAAATGTTTAAAAAATCTTAACTTTGATGACCTATATCTTAGCCATTTATGGATTTAAACCAAAAATTTTTACACAAATCGTCATCATTTTCACTTGTTTTCACTTCCCACTTGACAAATACCAAAGGAAGAGAACTGAACCATGTAATAGAGGCCCTAAATTGTGTAGTGCACTGGGAACCCAACTTACTGGCCAACAGATAGAAGTAAAATTCCGGACCTGCTTGATTTTTTTATTACGAAAAATATATCGCTTAACTTCGTGAACATAGAAGAAGAGTTAGGGCTGGACTCAGATCACTCACCACTAATTAGTACTCTAAATAACAAAGTATGTAACAAAGAACCCTTTTTATCACTAACTAATAAACTCACTAATTGGAATCTATTTCAACAAACATTAGATAATAAAAGATTAGTTACTTAGATAATAAGTAACTAATTAGTATGTATTTACTAGGTGTTATACAATTGTGCGATTAATATTATGCCACGACTTACAGAAACACCCTGTATATATCACACAACCACAATTTAATTAATAAGAAAACACGTCAAGAGGAAGAAAGCGCAAAAGAAAATATGGGCGATAATGATAAGGTCGAAAGTAGAAGTGATACTGATAACTTCGTCAGAGATGAGGATGAATATGAGTATGAAGATAATCTACCACTTTCAACACTGATTGAGAAATGAAAATTTTATGACATGCTTCTTATTATATAGGCATATTTTGTTAGAAATATATTTAAAACTACAAATTACGACATAAAATTGTTTCATTTCATGAATAAACGTTAAAAAGTGATACAGTACCTATGTATTTCTAAAATGTATACAATATGGGTACTAATAATATTATGGTAAAATTACATTTTCTTAAATTTCCGGTAATTTTGCATGACTAAGTACACCTCTTTATCTGGGTAACTAATGATGTGCTTTCTTAATTTCTCTTTATTAAATAAAATCATTTTTATGCTAGAACGTCTCAAGTGATTATCTCTTTTCCCACTAGACTTGAAAGCGATAAAATAAAAATGAAAATAAACTTAAGTAGTATAGCTCATAAAACTGAGTTTCAAGAACAGTTAAATTTGTACTTAAAAAAAGCTAATGATTATTAGCTAACATAAATTCCGAAGATAAGCGGTTATATAAACCTGATCCATTAAAAAACCGTTTCATTCAATCTACAAACAATGTCTTGTGACCACAGCTTTCTTCTGGAATTACTTTTCACTTATAACAGCTATATACTTTTAATTTGACAATCCATAACTGTGACCACAGCGAGGCTTACCAGGTTTTATAGGAGATACAGTTATTGCTGGTACAACAACCAATCAAAACTTGAGTTATCACTATGAATTAGTTTCTATTTACTATTTACATAACTTAATTCATCTAAAAATATTTTCATTATGGCTTATTACTCCTTAATGTTAGTGTAAGTATATTGTTAGATGTAGCATCTTGTAAAGTTTATATTTAAATAATCAGTGAAATGAAAAAGAATGAAAAAATCATCTTACTTTTTCTAAAATTGCTGGAGTATGTCCTTGAAATTTAACAGACCTATCTCTTGCCCGTTGTTTCCGTTCCCACCTCCGCTTCGAGGGGACAATTCCCATTCCCTGTTCATCCCCCGTATTAAGTACTCTCCGCGCTTGCCACCATTCATCATCGCTTGCATTCGTCACGTGCAAAATATCCCCATACTGGAAAGCCAAACCTCTACTTGGAAGACCATCATCTTTTAAGGGATCATAATCGAACAGTGCCCTAAAAAAATCAATTAATAAGATTAAATAAATAATTACATCATTTAGAATCAATTTAAATAAAAGAATATTTTAATGTTGTAGAGAAAGTTGATAAAATATTAAGAAAGCTTTTTAACTCCTTTCAAAACCATTTTACTTTTTAAATTTTTAATTAACTTACCTAACATATAAAGATTTCTTTTGTGTAGTCTTCATAAGTGTCCCAGTAACTTGCTGTGCTAATTGCTGTTTCAAATCGTGTATTTTCGCTTCGAACCGATTATATTCTTCAGGTCTGTACTGGACAACTATTGTTACGGTTTGATTAGTACCCTGCGCAAAAAAAAGACCAATTCAAAAACTTTGAACTAAATTTAAATCAAATTAAAACCGATTCTGCGTGAAACTTATGACAGTAATTTAATATGATTCTTTAAACTCATATCTTTTGAAACAAGATTAGAAACCTTTCCGGGTCGTAAAAGTTATTATAGTCAGAAAAGGAATCGTGTAGTACATCGTATGCCGTTAAAAAGGAAAAACGATGTCGGTAGACCTCAACCAAAACCGTATCCTTGAATCTGATACAGTCGCGTCGCTCGTAAAACAATTGTTTAACCTCATACGGTTCACCTTGTCACAAAAAATGTATGAAAAAAAATGTCATAAGAAAAACCAATAACCTATTTATTTTAATTTCATTAATTAGATTTTAATTTTTTACCTTGAGTGCTAATGCAGCCTCTTCATGAGTAGCGTTCCTTAAATTAACCCCGTTAACGCTTAAAATTTGATCTCCTCGTTTTAATTCGCCGCTTAAATCGGCGGGACCCCCGGCGAGTATAAACGATATGAAGATTCCTTCGCCATCCTCGCCGCCGACGATGTTAAATCCGAGGCCGGAATTGCCTTTTTGCAAAACGACAGTCCTCACGTCCCTAAAAACGATAATAACGAATTAAATTAAAGAATCATTACAAAAAAATCATTAAAAAGTTTAAATTAACATCAGAGATCAAAGTGTATTTTGACGATCATCGTAATTTTTTTAAAGGGAATTTATAAAACTCAACCTATTAAAAAAACACTTCCAAAAAAGTTCTCATCATTTTAAAGTTTCTCATTTTCAATTGATCTTGATGGAATATTTAAATTCGCATTTGTTGGGAATGGATCTTAATCGATTTGTTTGTGTAGAAATTAATTTACCAAATCAAAGTCTGTTTCTTCATGTATCATGATAAATTTTAATCACAATAGAAAGAAAAAATAAACCGCAATGGCTTTTTAGGTAGTAACATCCTAAAAATAGCATATCCAGGTGCATGGCTAACAGAAACATCTAACCACCTCCCTTCCCTTAACGTCATACCAAAGAACAGGGAAAAAATCATAAAAATAGGCACCCAGGGGTTATCGGCTTACCCAAGAAGCCGTTTCGACGGTTGTTTCTTGTCTTTACACTGCATCTTTTTACCCTAACCCATTCCGAAAAACCGACAACCGACCCTTTCACTACATCCCCATCAACTTTTAACCCCTGTAACTTTGTTAATTTTAACACCATACGGTAGCAGTGGCAGTGTCATAGGCGATCATTTTGCGCGAAATTTAACGGAATGACTGGCAGACAAACTAGACACACATCGGCTTTGTACAAAACGGGCGCAGAACTTAGGGGCGGTTTTTGCGAGAGACATGCGCACCAACGGTCATGGAACCGTCGAAGGGACCCCCTACAGGTGGTGATCGATATTGGAACGACATCAGTACCAGTAGGAAGAGAAAGAGGAAGGGAATTGGTTGATTTGACGTTTGAAATCGAGTGAAAAATTTTGATTTTGAAATTTGATTTGTTCAAGAGGATTAAATTGAATTATTTATTTATCCATTTGGAAGAATCGTATTTAGCTGAAAATATTAAAGGGTAAAAAATTCACATTTTTACTACTGCATTGTCCATTTCATTACATTTTTCCCATTTGCATGAATTAAATTTTGTTCCAAAAAGTTCTAAATTATATTTTTAATAAATGATTTTATTAATAATTTTTTTTTTATTTTTTAAAATACATTCCAATCGAGGCGCTGTCATGGAGACCGTAATAAACAATAAATCATGGCCGAGTTGTTATAACACACCACACTTTTTGGACAGCCCGATTGAATAATGATCGATTAATAAAAAATAAATGCGAATTAGCTTTGTTTAGCCGACTAATATGTGTTAGTTATAGTTTTGCACTAGTATTGCCACTAGAACTAATATTAGACTTAGAACTAGAATCACTCAGGTTTAGCCGTCTTGAGAGACGTGCGGCTAAACCCAAATGAGTTTACTACACTAGTACTGTACATAGTAACAGTACTAGTGTAAAACTAGAACTAACACTAGACCTAGAACTAGAATCATTTAGGACTTAGAATCACTACGTGTAAAACAAGAACTAACACTAGACCTAGAACTAAAATCATTCGGGTTTAGCCGTCTTGAGAGACGTACGGCTAAACCCGAATGATTCTAGTTCTAGGTCTAGTGTTAGTTCTAGTGACAGTGTTAGTTCTAGTTTTAGTTCAATAAAAATATAGTTTTGTCTAGTGCTAACTAGCGCTACCTAGCACTGTAACTACAACTAAGACTAGACAAAAAATGCGAATTAGCTTTGTTTACAGGGGTAGTAATATAGGATGTGTAACTACTGTCATAAAGAATATAAACTTTTAATGACGTTATACAAGTATGGATATTTGCGGCGAAAATGAGATGAGATTTCCCAGAAAAAAAAATAAATAGAAATGCATCATCATATTTTTATAAACAAATTGATGGCATCAAGGAGAATACATTTTCTCAAAATCATTTTCATTTCCCAAACTTGCTTGCATCAGAATCAAATAGATATGCGCTACAAAAATTAAATTAAATTTAGCTTTGATTGCTAACCCCATATTGATGTTGTGGATGAAATTTCTATATGAAACTCTGTATAAAATGAAAACCCTCTATAACTAATTATTATTGATCGAAAAGCCTATTACTTATATAATTTTCAATTATCGTGTACCATTATGTTACGAAACAGATTCGCGCAGACACGAACGTCATGTTGTAAGAAAAGCACTAAGCCTCTCGGAGAATAAAAAAACAAGAAATATTCTCCAGATGATTTTAAAATATAACAATTTGTTAACAATTTTAGATAATTTAGATACGTTAATTTCAAAGATTTCAGAGAAAATGTAATATATACATTTTTAAATGCGAACGTGTCACTCATCTAACTGCAAATGTAAATAAGGGCACGCTAGTTTCGCGCCTTAATACATAAATAATCATTTATCAATAAAAATACACAACAATCTAACGTTAATATATATAAACTCAAGGTATTGAACTAAAACTAGAAGTAACATTAGACTTAGAACAGTCGCTCAAGACGGCTAAACCCGAATAATTCCAGTTCTAGGTCTAGTGTTAGTTCTAGTGATAGTGATATTGCAAAACTAGAACTAACACTAGACCTAGAACTGGAATCATTCGAGTTTAGTCGCACGTCTCTCAAGATGGCTAAACCCGGATGATTCTAGTTCTACGTCTAGTGTTTGTTCTAGTAACAGCAGCAAAGCAAAACTAGAACTAACACTAGAGCTAGAATTAGAAACATTCGAGTTTAGCCGCACGTCTTATAAGACGGCTAAACCCGAATGATTCTAGTCCTACGTCTAGTGGTAGCTCTAGTGACAGTGTTAATGCAAAACTAGAAATAACACTAGACCTAGATCTAGAAACATTAGGGTTTAGCCTCACGTGTCTCAAGACGGCTAAACCTGAATGATTCTATTTCTACGTCTAGTGTTAGTTCTAGTGACAGTGCTAATGCAAAAGTAGAACTAAAAACATTAACGTTTAGCCCCACGTGTCTCAAGACCAGTGTTGTTAAATACCCGGGTATTTATTTTCAATGGTAGATTTCCTTGATATATACCCCGGAGTATGTACCAAAGATGGGTATTTAGAGGCATTTATAAAATTTTATTTAAATTGATTTAATGGCAGTTTTGCAAGCACTTCAAGAATGCAGAGTCGATTATCGATATATCAAACTTCTACAAGAATGCTACAGTGACGGTAAAATTGCATGAAAGTGCTGAAGAGAGAGTAGTAAAGTACTGATTGTGAGTAAAACAAGGCGATACACTGTTGAACCCAAATTGTTCATCACAGTCCTGGAGAGTGCATTTAAACAACTGGATTGGACCCAAAAAGGCATAAACATTGATGGCAAATGCCGAAGTAATTTGCGCTACGCGGACGATATAGTTCTTATTTCGGATAGCCTTGGAGAGATTAAACTAATGCTGAACGACTTAAAGGAGATGTGTGCAAGAGTCGGGCTAAATATCTACAAGGAGAAATCAAAATTTATGACAAATCTTGTTCCCAGCTCTAACATCAACATTGGGGATAATAAGATTAAGAGGGTTGACAGTTATGTATATCTTGGCTATGAGGTTCGGGTATCGAGTGACAATCAAACAAGCGAACTAAACAGAAGAATCAATGCGTGTTTCCGGTTATGACATACGGTTCCAAAACTATAACATTAACAAGAGGGTCCAAGTAACGCAAAGATAAATGGAGAGGTCGGTCCTGGGTGTAACTCTGAGGGATTACATACGAAATGAAGACCTATGAAGAAGAACTGGCGTAAATGATGTGTTGACCACATCATGTGGCAAAGCTTAAGTGGAACTTGGTGGGTTATGTCGCGAATGAAGAATGAGCAGTGGACAAAACGGTTGCTTGAGTGGATACCGCGAGCGAACAGACGAAGTAGACGTCAAAAGAATGACCAACAATTGGATTCAGACAGCACAGAATAGAATCGAATGGAATAGAACAGGGGAGGTCTATGTCCAACAATGGACGCAGAGGTCTGCTTGATGATAATAATCATAATAACTTTATCTATAAGTACGAACTTGATCTAATCTAAATTACAACAGATTTGTCTGATGATATGTCTTCAACGTCCATTTCATCATCTTCGTCTTCATTTTTTTTTTGGAATCTGATATATTTTCACTGTTTATCGCTTATTGTATCACTTTTATACGCACTGTTTGTGTATTTACCCTGCCGGACCAGGGTATATACCTGGATAAATACCCATTTTAGAAATACCTACCCGCCGGGTATTTACCCAGCACTCATCACTGCTCAAGACGGTTAAACCTGAATGATTCTACTTCTAACTGTAATATTAGTTCTAGTGACAATACTAGTGCAAACATCTACGCAGTGATTTGATGAAAGGACCAAGTTGTTTCGAGGAAATCACCATACAAGCCATAAAAATAGGCTCTGCGAAAATTATAACGACTGCCACAAGCTGGAAAAGTTGATTGATTGTTGCTATGTTGTAGGAAATCTCTCGGCGAACAAAAGAGGAAGAGATTTTCTCCAGATAATTTTAAAATAAAATCAATTTATTAACTATTTTAAACAATTTGGATTAGGTTAATTTCAAAGATATCAGAAAAAATATAATATGAACATTTTTAAATGCAAACATGTCACTCATCTAACTGTAAATGTAAATAAGGGCACTCTAGTTTCGCGCCTTAATACATATATAATTATTTATCGATTAAAATGTTCTTATTCTGCACCAATTGACACATCTTTAAATAGTGGTTAAAAGTTTAAAACCACAAACTGATTTAATTTGTCGATAAAGTTGTTTAGGTCAATATAACAAGTAATATGAATGTTGTTAAAGAAGTAGAATAAACAGTTCATCCATAAAAAAAAGCGAACAGTAATTTAAATATGCTAATTAGGATGATTATACCGTATTAAACCAGACGTCGTTTCCGCGAACATTTCAAAAGCTGTAATCATTTTAACAGGCTTTTTGTAAGCGCGTTTAAAACC